GCTATATCCAAATGTAATCACTTTTTTCATCTTTTTCAAAAGAACAACTCTCTTAAGAACAAACGGCTATTTATTATTGCAAGAAATCGATGTAAAAAGGTGCTTTCTAATGCTAAACTCCGTTATTCTCAGTTCACTAAATCTTGCATCTTATCACAGAAGTAAGGCTCTAAAGACTTTTGGAAAATCTTCAACAGCATTATTAATAAGGGTAGATCTAACATTCCATCTCTCATTCATGGGACTGATCTTATTACCTCTCCCAAGGAAAAGGCAGAACTATTTGCAAAGAACTTTTCTTCTAATTCCACTCTTGAATCTTATGGACATTCTCTTCCTTCCATTCCAGTCAAACAGGTTGACCCATTGTTAGACATTCAAATCACTCCGGCTTCTGTTGCTAAAGTCATATCTCAATTAAACTCGTCTACAGCTTGTGGTCCAGACAACATTCCTGTCACAGTCTTGCAGAATTGTTCTCCAGAACTTTCTTCAATTCTCTCTAAACTATTTAACAAATATTTGACTGAGTCTTGTTTTCCTGCTTGTTGGAAAATGGCATCTGTGGTTCCAATATTCAAAAACTCTGTAGAAAATTCTGACCCCTCCAATTATTGTCCGAACAATCTTCTTTCTGTTATTAGCAAGGTCTTTGAGTCTTTGATCAACAAATTCCTCACATCTCATCTTGAGTCAAATAAACTACTGTCAGACAATCAATACGATTTTTGATCCTCTCGCTCTACGGCCGACTTGCTAACTGCTGTAACTGAAAGATTTTATTGTGCATTAGATGGAGGCAGTGAGGCTAGGGCATTGCTCTCGACATATCTAAAGCTTTCGACAAAGTTTGGCATGCTGCTCTTCTCCATAAGCTTGCTTCATATGGTATTTCTGGGAAAGTTTTTGAGATTATCAAATCATTTCTTTCTAACCGGTTTATTAAAGTCATCCTTGAAGGCCAACACTTTTCTTTATTTCCAGTAACTTCGGGGTTCCCCGAGGTTCCATCCTAGGCCCTGTTTTGTTTCTTATCTACATAAACAATCTTCCTGACAACCTTTTATCTAAAGTAGCTCTTTTTGCTGATGACTCAACTTTATACTCCTGTCTTGACAAAAAGTCTTCTCTTTTCGATTGCCTAGAACAAGCAGCTGATCTTGAATCTGATCTCACTTCAGTAATAGATTGGGACTCACAGTGGCTTGTGAATTTCAACTCTAACAAAACCCAGTTGTTTACTGCAAACAACTACCGTAATATGGTCAACATTCCTATATTAATGAATGGCAATTCTCTTACTGAGTCCTTCTCTTTACGTCTTCTTGGATTATCGCTTACCACTGACTTTTCATGGAAACCATATATACAATCGATTGCTAAATTAGCTTCTGCTAAGGTTGCTTCTCTTTATCATGCTTGCCATTTCCTTACTTCTGATTCCATTCTCTACCTCTACAAATCTCTTATTTGTCCCTGTTGTCATATTTGTGCTGGCTCTTCTAACAATTCACTTTCTTTCTTGACAAGGTCCAAAAAACGCATTGTAAATGTTGTTGGACCTGGACTATCTGCGAAGCTTGAGCCTCTTTCCCATCGTCGTAAAGTTGCATCTCTTTCTCTTTTCTACAAATACTATCATGGTCACTGCTCAAAGGAGTTATCATCTCTAGTTAAATCAACTAAAATTTATTCTCGTTTTACTCGTCATTCAGCTAAGTCTCATTCGTTTAATGTATCTGTCCTTGCATGCTCTAAAAACTTTTATTCATCTAGTTTTTTTCCCCGCACTTCAATCCTTTGGAACTCTCTCCCATCTTCATGTTTTCCTGACTTATACAACCTTCAACTTTTCAAGTCTTCTGTCAACCGTTTCCTTGCTCTATAACTCTGTTCTTTTTTTTCCTAGTAACTCCCAACTTAATAGTAGTTGCTTGCAGCCTTGTTGGGAGTGAATGCAAAAAAAAAAACATAAACCAAATTGATTATGTTAGCTCAAAAGAGCAATAATTATACTAGTCTATAACAAAATACATAGTATATATAGTATAATACAAAATGTATATGTATACATAAATATGTATACATATACGTTTCATCATAGTTAATATTTCTTTTTATTTAGTCTAAAAAAAAAAAACTGTAGTGCAAAAAAATTTTTAAATATTATAACTATAGTGGCCATTAAAATATACTGTTTTGGTTCCCAAAAAAGTTTGCATTTTACCGGTTTGAAGTCAAACCGGTAAAATGCAAACTTTTTTGGGAACCAAAGTTTGCATTTTATCAACTACCTCTATATAGTAGTGAGGTTTACCTTTCATTTTAGAAAGAATTGTTGCTTAGGTGGGAGAAAAGCTTTAATGTAATCAGATGCAATCCTTAAGTACAAGAAAGATCTTCAGGGAATTGTTTGAATTTTGAGGGCATCAAATGAGCTATCAACATTTAGCATCTGTCACACAATAAAAATGATGCAGAAGCTGTTGCTGTCAAAAAGAAGATAAAAACAATCAAGTTATTGTTAGAACTTATTAATTTTATAACAATTTTGTTCATTTTCTACTAGAAAACTCAAGCCCAATTTGTTGTTTTATTTACCAGCAACAGATTATATATGAATTTTATTTGGAAGTCTTACGGCAATGGCGTTGCCTGTAAAATCATTTTGATTGCAACAATGTTAGTTTTTATTCAATTGGCTATACATTTTAGATTATGAAAAAAAAACTAGGATTCTTATTTCCAGGACCTAACAAATGATGTTAATTTTGGACTATTTCAAACTCTAATGGTTGAAAAATATTATTATGGTTTGAGTATTATTTTTTTTGTCTGAAAAGAAAAGTCTTTTTGAAAATAGAGAGAACACAGGACATTCTTCAGTTAAGTACTGGATGTCATACCATGTTCTGGTCATTTTCTGCTTAAGAACTGAAAGCCAAAACATTTGCAATATACAAAAATAAAAGGCATTCATTGACCATGATGATGTCTTGGTTTCACTCAACCTTCTTTTTTCCGGTTTCTCATTAATGAATATTTAACAATCTATTCAGCACACTCCTAATAGTCAGTATGAGGCAGCAAGATCTTTCTATTTTTGTTAGATACTATTCTCTTCAGTGATTGTATAGGTGGTTTCAAAAGAGCTTGCAAACTTCTGTCTTTGAGTTTCAGCCTCTTAAAACTAGCTTCTGTGTTAGTTAATCTTAATAATGTAATAGTTGACCATCTTGAATCTTTGAATTTTTCTGGACTTGATGCTGTACCAATATTTAGCCATCTTTGAATAGTATAAAGTTGGTGTTTTTTGTACCTGATGTTACTCCAAACTACTCTTTGTGAACTCAACTCTGTATTTTTTCATTTATATGCTTTCCTTTTGATGACAAATTTCACTTTTATACCCAGAGTTACTAACTGTAGTGTCAAAAACAAGGTTCTTACATAAAATGTCTTACTTATTTGTGAAGTTAAAGTAGCTTTTGCTTGCTCTTTACTTGATGTACTTGTGATAACTGGATTTAATGAGAAACCGGAAAAAAGAAGGTTGAGTGAAACCAAGACATCATCATGCTCAATGAATGCCTTTTATTTTTGTGTATTGCAAATGTTTTGGCTTTCAGTTCTTAAGCAGAAAATGACCAGAACATTGTGATTACTGATCCTTTCTTGTTTTTAAAGTCTGAAACTAGTTTACCATCCCAATGTAGAGTTGAATTTTTAATGTTGTAAATTTAACTTTAAAATTGCTTGCATAAATGCTGATTGTTGGCCAGCTAATAGATTGAGTCTCTGATGGTTGATATTTTGCTTTTAAATGGATTTTTGGGTAGATTTAAAGTTTTATGCTAAAGATTGATATGGCCGTGCCATAGTGGTTAGAGCGCTTGCTTTATAAGTAGGAGATCCAGGTTCGAAACGAGCTTTGGACATATTTCGTGTCATCGTAAGGCGTGAACTTTCTGGTTAAATGCACTTCCGCGTTGCTCTGTGACAAGACCGTAAGGTCTTCTTGGAGCACCTAAATAATTAAAAAAAAAAAAAAGTAAGTGATTAGAAAGATTAATTTCTTGTAAGATTTAAAGTGAGTTTTTGTATGGATTACTGTACTTGTTGTACTATGGTCAAAAGAATTATAAAGGATCTTTAGTTAAATCGGGTTCAACCTTAGTAACTTCAGTATCAAACCCATTCTAGTTACTCAAATCAGAAGTATACCATATATATCTAATTTTTTAAGGAGTCGTCCATAAATTACGTCATGTAATTTTCTACCGTTTTGTCTCCCTGACCGTTTTTTACATCTACCATAATTTTTTTTTTGGTTCTACATCTGTCTTTTTTTCAGAATAACATCTACCTTTATCATCAATATCATCCTACATTTGTCTTGTTTTCTGAACCAACATCTGTCTTCTTCATCAATATTATTCTTAATCTGCCTTGTTTTCTGGTCCAATATCTGACTTCATCGTTAACATCATCCTACATCTGTCTTCATCATCAACATTATCCAACATCTGTCTTCACCATCAAATTTATCTTACATAGATTGTCTTACTTATATATGGTATAATAATTTAAAGTTGCAGTTAAATTCATAATGATTATTGCCTAGCAAAAGATTTGGTGGTTGGGGTCATCTTTTATATTCCACTTTCCTTTCATAATTTTTTCCTCTAATATTTATTTATTTTTTAATAAAAATAAAATTTTATTTTTAAATGTTTTTCAAGTATTCTTCTGATATATAATAAAAAAATTCTAAAATATTTCTTAATTTACAAACATTTGCAAGGATTAAAAATTTTCACAAATTATATAAATTAATATTAGTTGAATTGATATTTAAAATAATTGGTTTAATATAAACAAACTATTTGTATTTGTTTATTATTTAATATTTGTTTTATCATGTAGTTACATATTTTAGTTATATGTAAAGTATTTGTAGCCTATTTTGTTATGTAATTACATTTTTTGATTTTAATAAGGTAGTCTCGGAAGTTTGCAAAATGACATGTCTTATTATTCTAATGATATCAATGCTGGAAATGAAAGTTCTCAAATTTTATCTCAAAATCATCTCAGTAATCCGAACCAAAAAAGAGGCAAAAAAGAAAACAAGCCTGCTGTCAACTCAAACCAAAAGAACATGCATCCTCGGCAAAATTTAAAGAAAAAGTCAAGTCAACATTCAACATCAGATGATGGTAATTCAAGTTACATGGATGAACTTATGCTACTACAAGACTTTCAAATCAGTAGCAATTCATTTGGTCATGGTAACCTTTTCATTCAATATTCGAATTACTTTTGATTTGAGTGAGATTTTATTGATGAATGAAAACCAACTAATTAATCTTATATAAAATTTTAATACTACAGGCTGGCCCAGTGGGCACCGGTCCAAAAAAAGACGTCTTTTGAACGACGTCCAAAACGTTCGAAAAACGTTTAAAAGACGTCTAAAACGTATATAAGACGTTTAAAAGACGTCTTTTTTACGTCTGTGTCCACTGGGGGGATATATAAGACCTACTAATTAACTTTTTATTTATTTTATTTATTTTTTATACATTAAATATATTTTAAGGAAATTATGTAAGAAATATGACATTAGATAAATGTTTACCAATTTCACGGTGGTAAATCACGTAATGTTTCTTGTTGAAGGCTATGTATTATGTCTCAAATATTCTTCTAATAGTCTGCTTTATTAACATACACATTGTCTTTTGAATATCCCTATAAAATAAATTTGGGAACAGTTGAATATGAACGGGGTGGTCAAAGGAAAATATGATTTTTTTAAATCAGACGTTCGCCAAAAATTCACGCGTTCACGCAACAGGTCCATAGTGTACCTAGCAATGATAGCAATTTAAATTTTGTATTGGTACATCTTAAGACGTCCTAACATCCTGGAAATGCCTATTTGGCTGGAACGATGACTAGTTGAGAAAGATGGATTACATTCACACTCTGCTTCACAGTTCTCACGTTGTCTTTAGTACGAATATTTTGATTGGCACCTCTTCCAGGATGGTAAGACCACTTTAACCAATTTTCAAAACGACCAATCAAACTCCTGATCACGGAGACTGTGTGAGCTGGTCTTGAATTAAAATGTTGCCGATTCGCTGCGTCATAACAATTGTTCGTTGACAAGAATAGAAAAGGCGATAATTTTAACGCGTTTAATGAAATTTGTACTGAATGGTTTTATAATGAATTCCCAAATAATCAATTGTAACCTAAAAAAAGCTAAAAAATAGTTATATCAAAAATAAAAATGTTATTTTTGTTTGTATGTTATTGGTAGGCCTTACTTGATCCTCCCTGTATAATTGAAATTTTTATTAAATTTGTTTTTTTGTTTAGTTAAAATATCTTAGTAAATAATTTTTATTGTTTCAGTTGATTTTATAAATTTTTTTTAGCTAAAGAAGATAAAAATTTAAGTGAAAAAGAAGTTGCAAAAAGCTACTTTGAGAAAGCGCAACAGTACTTGTCTGAACAAGCAAACTTTAATAACAGAATAGCAGGTTTTAAATTTTATAACAATGATCTTTAAGTAGCTTATAAATAAATTTAGACGCCTTAAGGCGCGCATGTGCCTTAAGGTGCGCAGCCACTTTTATAGTTTGGATTAGGCTGATTTTATGAAAGGAACAAACACTCTTTCTTGTGTAATTTCTCCAGGTAACATTGGATTGAAACTAAACGATCGTGTTCTTGGAAGTATACCAATTGAATGGAGGATAAAAAAGCGTGATATAACCAAAACTGAAATCATTCAACACAGTGGAACCTTTTACACAGACAATCGAGGTTATCGAGTTCAATTGAAGTCTCAGGTAGATCGTTTACATGGAGATATTTATTTTAGTGTTCGAATTCTGCAGGGTTTGTTTGATGAAAATCTTGATTGGCCGTTCCAAAAAAAATTTTGCATATCGGTATCAGATAAGATGAAATCTAGTAACAGAGAGTCATGGATAATTCCGCAAAATGGCATTTGGATAAAAGCATTAAACAAAGCAACTGTAAAAAAAGATTCCATTGTAAGTGAATGGAAAGGACCTTTCAACATAAGTCAATATTTAGAAGCGAGAACTATTATTTTAAATGTATCAATGAGTGAATGATATAATAAATATAAAGGTGTTTTTGTGTTTAGTTAACAAAATTTTAAATTAACGCATAGATAACTTCAAAAATATTTTTAAAACTTATAACACGTCATTTATTCGCAATTTTTAAATTTGCAACTAAATAGGCAGATTTTTTTTGTTGATAAAACTATATTAAAACTACATCAAAACTACAAACATTATATTGATTATTTTTCCAAACAATGTAGTTAATGAGGAGTTGAGTACGACAACAATGTCTACAACGAGTCAGCATAAAACAATTTAAACGATCAGAGACGATTCTACGAATAAAATGAAGGGAGTGGGTTGAATCCTTAAAAAGTCCCCAACTGTTTCTTAAAAAAAAAAGTCCCCAAAACTATAATTCACCCGACTGAAACGCGTCAAATTTACGACTATATTCGTCAAAAACCGACTATAACTTAAAAATCACCTTTTTTAAAGTTAGGGGAGGGGGTGGAGTGGAGCACATGCCTAAAATCACCTCTGTTAACGATGAGTCAAATAAAACAGCACGCTTTGAACTTGAAAAGGAGTTAATTTTAAAATCGACTAAGTAATTTCTAAAAATTTACTAGTATAATCAATCTTACAGGTAAGGTAAAATGTTTATGTTCAGTATAGCATTTTATATGACCATGCAAACGCGTTTTATTACGAAGTTGTTTCAATATATTTTTAATAGGATTTAGATCAGGTGATTAAGCAGGTCATTACAGTGACTTTATTTTGAACTAAGTAGAACTGTACCATAGGTTATATAATACTAAACGTTGTTTGTGTGTGGCTTTAAAATGTTCAGAACTACACTGTGCTCCGAAACTAATGGAACACGTGTTCAAATTTGTAAAGAGAGTATAGTATGCAAGTTGCTATTTTATTTTAAATATAAAAAATGTGTTGCTATAGTGTAACTACTCTAAGTAAAGTAAATATATACTAATACATCAGCATATCTTAAAAACTGCAGAAATATACACTAATATATCAGCATATCATAAAAACTGCAGAAATCTGAATCCTCGCGTGAGTAATTTTGATTATAGCAAAGAGGTTTTAGTAGTTGAAATCAAAACAAATCAAAAAGATTTAGTTATATGTTGTTATTAAGGCCCACATTCGTGACAAGCGTAGTTTAATTTTTTATTTTTCCAAAGCAAAACTACGAATACTCACATGATTATTTTTCCCTTTCCTTTCTCGAATAAGTAGAAAGTTTTAAAGATAAGAAAGTAGAAATTTTTAAAGAAATTGTACAACTTAATAGGTGGCACTAATTTGGACTTTTTATAATGATTTATTTGAAAATGGGGCAATTCTTTAATTAACGTACAAAATCACCTGCAACATCATCTTTAATAGACAATATCATAACAACTAATATTTTTAATAAATCTCTGAAACATATCTCTTTTTCTCATTTAACATTGTCGCTGTAAAAATATACAAACAAAAAGTAGATTTTTAAATTGCTTTTTTACTTCAGTAAGATCAAAATCCTTTAAAGAAAAAAAGTCTTTGCTTAAGTCGAAGCAAGTAAAAGCTTCTGCAGCCACTTTTCTAGCTTGTTAAAAGTTTTTTTTAAACGTTTCATTAAATATACAACGTTAATTGTTTCAAATACTTAGTTATTGAAATCAAAGCTGCAAATTACCACTTAATTTCGGAAGGCCAGGTAACAAGTTAAAACAAACTATTTTTATCCGTGTGTACATAATAAAATCAGCTTGTATGACGTAATTGCAGGAAGAGAAATTAGAGGTTAATGACTTTTTGAACCTTGATAAAATAACTAGTAAATAACTTGGTAAAAGTTTAATAAAATTTGATAAAATATTTAAAAATTGGTACTACCATTTTAAAACAATTACCAAAAGCAATTTAAACACATTGTAGTTCTCATAATTTGAATTCAAATCAAAAATACCAATCTTTGTCAACATTTTGGAACAAAGGTTTATCAATTTTTTCATTTACCTATCCAAAAAGAGAGCGGTTACTGGAGCATGTCACAAAGTTCTGTAGTAAATCAGCCAAGAGTAAAAAGATTGCGATAGAGGCGAAAACAAGATATTTTGAAATAGAGGCAGCATATTAACGCTTTTATTTTACAGATATTTTTTATTTTTTTATATTATATTATTATGATCATTTATGGGTGAGGATTATGGCAGAGGAAGATTATTTTAGAAATACACTCTGGTATGAAGCAGTTCAATGCAGATTTTAGTGAATGGACGCTCAAGAAAAAAAAAACGGCTTGCTCATTCTTTAATGCACTTGCTGCATTTTTTTTCCTAATATTTCATCTTATATATTTTTATTTTTTTTTATTTTTTTTTTTTTTTACATTTTAAGTTTACATTTGTCGTAATACAATACTTTAACAAATACAAACAAGGTTTCTGAAAGAAGATCGTACTGATCTTATCATCAGAACCTTTTACAAGCATTTAGCATAATTATTTACAATGTATATAATCTATTTATAAAATAAACAGTAAAAGTAAATAGTAAAACAAAAAGATAAAAAGTAAAACAAAAAGAGTCGTTACATATAAAAAGTAAAACAAAAAGAAAAGTAAAACAAAAAGAGTCGTTACATATAACGTATTTTACAATTAACATAAAACGTATTTTACAATTAAAAAGTTCTAAATAAAGGTACATAATTACAATTAGAAGAACCTTATTATGTCATCGGAAAATAAAATTAAATTTTTGAGTTTATGTTTAAAAATTGGAAAAGTGTAAAATATATTAAAGTTTGGCAAAACAACTTTATTCCGAAGATATGGCGCACGATAAGCAATACCATACTGGTTAAACTTTGTTCGACAAAAAGGTTTATGCAAAAATTTATTATTTCTAAGAGTATATTTATTTATTGGTTTTTCACAAAAGAGAACTTTAAAGATAGGTAGGGATAAGTCATTTTTCCACAAATACATAAAACATAAAACATTAAACACATTAAGTTCGTAAATATTAAGAATTTTCATTTCAATAAAAAAAGGTTTGGAATGAGTGTATCAATCCGCAAAATTAATTAAACGGATCGCATGCTTCTGACGGCGGTAAAGACATTTTAATTTGCTTTTTTCTGTGCTTCCCCAAGCAATATTTGCATAATTTAAATAGGTATGAATAAATGTGTAGTATAGTTGGGTTAAATCTTTTTTACATAGATATGTTCTCGATTTATATAAAATTCCAATGCTTTTAGAAATTTTTGTGCTAATATAGTCAATATGCGCTTTCCATGTGATGTTTTCATCAAGAAAAACACCCAAAAACCTTGTGACATAGTGTCTTTTTATCACAGTATTATCAATAAAGATTTCTGGTAAATTTTGGGGTAAATAAGGTTTTTTTGCGATTGGATGGAAGAGAATCCATTTTGTTTTGTTACTGTTAAGAGTTAGCTTATTGCATATAAACCATTTTGATATGTTTTTAAGTTCATCGTTCATACTAGAAAAGAGTTTGTAAATATCATTATCGGAAAGAAATAAGTTGGTGTCATCAGCAAACATTATACTCATTAAATTTGAGGCTTTATTTAGGTCGTTTATATAAATCAAGAACAACAGTGGTCCCAAAATGGAACCTTGGGGAACGCCACATGAAACATTTAGGAACTCATTTGGATAACAACTATTACTAAAAACAAATTGTTTACGGTTAGATAAATAACTTCGGGACCATTTTATAACTTTGTAATTTATTCCATAGTATTTCAGTTTTTGTATCAAAATTTCATGATCTACAGTATCGAACGCCTTCGATAGGTCGATAAAAACACCTAATGTAAATTTAGATTTTTCAAAAGAATTTGAAATTTCACGTACAAGTTGGATAATTGCATGTTCCGTCGAATTATTTTTTTTAAAACCAAACTGGTTGGCGTATAACAAATTATTAGAAGGAGATAATTGTATAATCTATTATACATAATGCGTTCTAGTATTTTTGAGAATGTGCAGAGGACGGAGATAGGACGATAATTACTGATATTTGTTTGATCTCCCTCTTTTAAAATTGGGGTAATTTTAGCAATTTTTAATTGATCCGGAAAAACTCCTTGGTGAATAGATGCTCCATAAACCTTAAAAAGTATATCTTTTAATTGTTCAAAACATTCTATAACTATATTACCGTTTATGTCATCTGCTCCGTTTGCTTTGTTTTTTTTAAGGGATTTGAATGCTTTTTCGAATTCATAAAAAGTTAGCTCAGAATATAATTCGTTGGAACTAATGCAATTATCCATCTGTACTAGAAAATCGTTAAATGTTGCTTTGGTATAAGGAATTTTATTTGCTAGTTTAGGACCAATGTCAGTGAAGAATTTATTAAACTCATGAGCTATAGCTTTTGGTTCGCATATGCGTTTGTTATCCACTATAACCATCTGGGGAAGAGAACCTGAGCATTTTTTTTGTCTGCCAGTAATTTCGTTCATTATTTGCCAATTGCGTTTTGTGTTATTTTTGAATTTATCTAGAAGTCTTGTGTAACAATTTTTTTTCAAATTTTTACGAACTTTTTCAAAGAGATATTTGTAATTTTTATATATTTTCTCATTATCTAATGATTTTGTTTTAAGATATTTTATATACAGCTTTTGTTTAATCTTGGATGATTTTTTAAATCCTTTTGTTATCCAGGGGTTATTTTTATATTTTGGAGTTATTGTCTTTTCAATAATAGGAAAGTTTGCGTCATAAACGGAGTAAAAGGTTTCATAAAAGTTATCATAAATTTTGTCTGTATTGTCATTGAAGTTAATATGCTTCCAGTGCAGTAACGATAGTTGGTTTTTAAACAACTTTATATTTGTATGGTTAAAAATGCGGATTTTAATTTTGTTTATTTTATTTTTAATTTCAGAATTAATTGTCAAGAATATTGGAAAATGGTCAGTTATATCAGATTTTAGGATACCTGTTTGAATATTATTGTTGAATATATCTGTTGTAATAATATTATCAATCAAAGACGTCGAGTTTTTTGTTACTC